TTCATTGTCTAATATGATATAAAATGTTTTGAAATCAATAGATTGATGGATGTAGCAATCGTCTTCGAGTGATGACCCCAGTCATTATAATTCCCAGATCAAAAGTGGTAGAGGAAGGTTCCGATATCGGCTTGAACCAACTACTATCTACATATCGTGTATTCATCTTTCATTTTCTCTATATCAAAATTGAAAAATACACCTCGGTGATCAGATAAATGTGATTCTATAACTTGTGCAGAAAATGTCTCCTTGATATTGGCGAAAATAATGTGTATTTTTGAACTGCTACTCGAAATAAAAAAAAATCTGTTTTTCCGTTAATCAGCTGTCGCCCCCATACGAACGACAACTCTCAGAAGTTAAGAAACTTGTGCGAGCTAAGGACTAACGAGGTCTTACCTTTTAACGTGTGATTCCTAACACGGAAATAACTTGGTATCTTCGTTTACTATATCTGTTTACTTTTACAATTATTTGAGTCATTGCCATTTATACCAACCTTGACATTAATATCCCTCAGGACAATCACTTGATTATTTCAAGATACTTTCCCCAAATTTCATCTACTAAATTCACATACGTGTTCACCACCCAGCGTTAAACTAGATCTATATGTACATATTATGACTGTCTTTTCTGTGATAAATTCAATTTCTGAAAATTCAGCAGTTTGTTCCACACAATATTTTGAGATATCTAGAGGTTTCATTTTCATATTGAAGGTATTCCTCCCAAATATGAATATACCGCTATGTCCATTGGTTTTTATACAATAATACAAAAACAAGATATAGTTTATGTTATCATTTCTCAGCTGGGTTTCCTCCATCCAGGCTCATGGGGTGATCTGTATATCAGGCATTCGGCAACTCCTCCTCATTTTGTGTTTCATTTCTGAGAGTGCATTATCAAATTCTAAAGGAAAATCATGGATGCACAATTAATGTAAAAAATGGCCGCGGTTAGTGAACACGCTACGTTAACTGCAGAGCTTAATAAATTGAAGAAAAACGAACTGATTGATATTATTCTCACTTTCAAGCTACCAATAACTGTGAGCAATGGACCATTGAATGATTATGTGAAAAACTCAGTGCAAGTGAAGTACAGACAATATGTGATAAGGACTTGAATGCCCGATGTGAAGTCGACTCAAGTAACCGAAATAGTTTGAAGAAGGAACTTGATACTTTGTCAAAGTTGACCTATTACCTCGAGAAAAGGACTCAAGAGCAAGATGACCTGATTATGCTATTGAAACAGAATCTGAACCAGAATCTTCATGCATCACTTCAGTCGCCATATGTCACGAATAATACAAACACTCCAAATTCCATTCATAAATCTGGTGAAAAAGTGGAACAGAAACAAATAAAAACTTCGAGTGAAACCACAAAAACAAACACAAACGCTTTATCGGAACCTAAGGTAGACAAAAACCGGATCACAAATACAAACAGAATTTCCCAACGGAATCTCCCCAACAAAAACTACCAAAATAAAAATCAATATAAACCAATTTATGGAAGAAACGAGAATACAGTTATCAAAACTGTACCGCGCATAGGACATGTTCATGTATCTCGTATCGAAACTGGAATGAGTTCCGAAAACTTGAGAGATTACTTGAAGACAACTTCTCCGGATATACATTTTGTTTGCGAACCATGGAATGAAAACGAACGTACCTGTACCTTCAAAGTGTCTTTCCCACTGGACCAACTGGATGCCGCTTACAATTCAGCTATTTGGCCACAAGGATCTGTTGTAAGACGCTTCAAATTCAAAGAAAATTTTCACAAAACTCCTCCCAGCATCGAGGGACATTAGAAGAAAAAAAAAAGATTCCTTTTTCAGCAATTTTATAAATTTGGTTAAGGACCCGAATTCGGTGAGTGTGTTTCATGTTAACGTTCAGAGTATTTTCAATGAGACTGGTATATTGAATTCTTTTACATTTGATCACCAATTCGACGTAATAGGTGTTTCAGAACATTGGCTGAGAGGGGCAGAAATAGGCAGAGTATGTCTGGATGGATATGTTCTTGCTAGTCAATTTTGTAGAGAAAACAGAGTCCATGGTGGCACAGCATTATTTGTGAAAAAAGATCTTGATTTCAATTACATAGATTTAACTTCAATCAACAGCAAAATTAATTCGGAATTCTGTGGTATCGAGTTGTGCGAACTGAAAGTAACAATCATTGTTGTCTATAGATCAGGCAAGGGCGACGCCGACTTGTTTTTTCGTAAATTTTGAAAATCTACTGACTACCATTGTCAAAGCTTCAACTAATATAATAATAATGGGTGATTTCAATATCAACTTCAAAATTAACTCCAATATCCTGAGTGAATTTCAAACTTTATTATCTTCTTTTGGATTAAAAATTAAAAATCACCATAAATGAGGATACAAGAATCACAGCCGCTTCTTCTAGTCAGATAGATAATATCTTAACAAACCTTGATGACGAATCTATCGACACAGGTGTTTTTGAACCCTGCATAGCGGACCATAAAGCTCAATATATTATAATTCATAGAAAAATTTCAAATCCAGCCAAAACTGTTCATATACAAGGAGAATCACACAAATAGGTTTGAGAAAACTCAAAGAATAACTCTCAGAAATAAAGTGGGAAATTTTTCAGCACAATCAAGAAGTTAATCTACTAGCATCTTACATAACTGATGTCTATGCTACTCAAGTTTGCAAGTCATTTCCTTTGAGAAAAGTTGCAGCTCATAAACAAACATCCCCCGTGTGTTGGTTTGACGATTCTCTTAAATCTTTCAGAGAGTCATTGAAGAGTATCAAAGTTATCACAGATAGGAGTAAAGACCCTTCCGATATAAATGTGTACAAAAAACTCAAAAAAGAATATCATCAACGGATAACACTGAGTAAAAAACCTGCATACGATGAATTTATTATCTCTTCTAAAAATAGATCATCCGCATGTTGGCGGATAATAAATTATGAACGTAACAAAACAAAGGCTGTTGCTAAAACAACCCGCATATCTCCCGAGGATTTCAACATTTTTTTTGTTAATATTGCGGATACCATCATTAAATCTTTACCTCAGACGGGCATGGATGATTTCATTAATTTCGAAGAATTTCCAGTACCTTGTAGCTCCTTTTTTCTCGGTCCCGTCACCGAACAGGATATTATGAGCGCGATTGACTGTTTGAAACCTTCAAACTGTTTAGATGCCCAAAATTTGAAAGCTCGTATCATTAGGGAAACCCTACATATTATAATTTCGCCTTTTACAGGACTGGTCAACCTTATATTTGAGACAGGTGTTTTTTCTGACGCTTTCAAATATGCGAAAGTAATTCGAGTTTTCAAGAAGGGAGACCTATGTTCCCTGGACAGTTACAGGCCCATATCTATCATCTCTATTTTTTCCAAAGTCGTTGAAGTAATGAAAAAGCGTCTGTATGATTACTTCGAGAGCAACAACTTCATTTCTCAGGGTCAATATGGTTTTCGCAAAAATCCTTTTACTTCTCTAGCTGTCTTTGATGTTGTGGGATCTATTGTTGAAGGATTCGAGACGGGTGTGCATACGGCTATAACGCTTTTTGACTTGTCTAAGGCTTTTGATTGTGTATCACACAGTATACTTCTTAAAAAATTGTATTATTATGGAGTTAGAGGGGTATCTCTGTCACTCATAGAATCATACCTTTCAAATAGGTATCAGGCGGTTTCGTGTAATGGTATTACATCAAATTTTGAACCTGTTGAGCACGGTGTTCCTCAAGGTTTAATACTTGGGCCTCTGCTCTTTGTTATTTATGTTAATGACATATGTAATTTCATGTCTCCCTATAAGTCCATTCTCTATGCAGATGACACAACTTTAATATATAGCGATCAATCATCATCTAACATCCCACAAGTAATGGAAGAAGTTGAAAATCTAGCCAACACTTGGTTTCTAGCAAATAAATTGAAGTTGAATAGTGACAAAACTCAAAATCTTGAGTTCACCACTGTAGGTTCGGCTAACAAAAGTGTAAAATTACTTGGCATTACTCTCGACAGTACTTTATCTTGGCTTCAACACATAGATCTTCTCGCAAATAAACTATCTAGTGCAATATTTATCCTTCGTCAACTGCAAAACATCACAAGGGGTGAGATTCTAAAAATGACGTACTTTGCATTATTCCACTCACACATCAGCTACGGTGTTGTTCTGTGAGGGAACTCTCCTGGTTCGATGAGAATTTTCAAACTACAGAAAAAACTGTAAGAATACTGGCAAGTGCAGGTTTCCGGGAGCACTGTAGACCATTATTCAAAAAATTACGTATCATGCCATTGCCAACATTATTTATTTATCAGACGCTACTGGAAATTAGAAAAAATGCTCAGTTGCTAGAGAAACAGTCTGACATACACCAACACTTCACGAGAAATGCGGACAAGGTAAGAACATGCCGTTATAGTTTGATTCGTCTTTGATCTAACACCAGACAACACTTTTTGGACCTGTCATAGGTGGTTGTAGTTTGAAACATGAATGCATTGTTGAACTCAACTTTCCTCAATGAACGAGTATATGGAAGCATGAATTTCCCTTTATGAATATGCCATCTATGGAATTATGTCATCGATATCAATGATAAATGAAGCAGTCGAGGTTCTGTTTTGCAATTTACCACCTTAAGGAACCTTTTTCTTCAAGGACAGTTGAGTCCAACAATGCATTCACTGTTTAGCCTCAACTTAGCACCAATAATTAGACCTATAGCAGGTCGAAACAGCGTTGCTTGGTGTTGGTTTATGAACTATTTTTGTTTTTGAACAGTTAGAAACTGTAGACCTAAAATTATTTTGTTTTCCTTCTTCGCTTGGAACCCACATGAGAATTTAATTTTATTATAGGTAGTTATATTTGTTTGTACATACCAACATAATTAATGTTTTTGTGGGCATTTCTTTTACTTTGAAAAGAGAATTGAAGCCACTTTACCTAAAAACAAGGGTGCTTCCTTATATTCCTCATTAGTCCTACCAACTGTGATATATTGACCAGATGATGAAGTTACTGATGAGTCATCACATCGTTCATTTTCGAATTTAGTTTCCATTGTGTCTCTTTCGCTCCCTAATGATATCTCTGTTTTATATCTGAAAAAATATAAAATTAAAAACCACTAAAACACATTAAAAAAATAATAATACAAAAATTATTGACTTAAATACAGATAAACATAACTGACTCAACCGACAGGGGGCATAATACTTGTAATATCGTGGAGTTCCACCATTTAGTTGGAGCCTCCCGGTATATTTCTTAGAATGTTTTTTTAGTTGGAAGGTTTAAAATGTAAGCTGAATAAAGGCAGTCAAGTTACAATCACGAAGGTATGTGTTTCATTTAAACACTAAATTATTACAGTGGCGACGAGGATTCGGTTTAAATAATAAATACCTAAATCAAATATAAATTGTATTTCGCCCCACAAGTGAGGCATCATGTCGGTTGGGAAGATCGACGAGTTTAAATTAAATGAAAAGTGTTGGTNAAGGATTATTTTCACAACGTTTCGGCAAAGTCTCATTTGCCATCTTCTGGTGATGTCTGGTTTTTTCAACCAGACTGATTAGTTCGAACTCTGTGTCTCAATTTATAGGGATGGATGTTTCCCTTTACCTGCGTTGCTGCCACTACCTGTGTTTGCTCGACTATCTGTTTTGGCCTTATTTTTAATTTTCATTTCTTGTTAAAAAAATTTAATTTACATCTCGTGTTAATAGCTTAATTTTTTTGATTTTTTGGTTGTTGCTCGTTTTTTATTTTTCTGTAATTTCGTTATTTTTCAGCTAATCTCTTTTTTAATTTTTTACAGATTCTGTCAGGTATATCAAATCAATGTATATTAGATAATGGAAGTCGGAACTAATGAAATACACCAAGAAACATCATCAACTACCTTCAAACAAACGTACTATAATGTTCTCGTCAATGCTAAGGTACCTACAAGCGCTTATAAAAATAAGGTTTCAACTCGCTATCTATCCTATTTGGCAAGTATTTCCAAACTTTCGACAACACCATAATAACCGTTCAGATGCTTGACTATGTCTGCATATGAACTTTGTTCGGGTTTGTTTGGCACTGATAAATCAACCAATAAATCAATATACTACCTCCGCGAGGCTATACTGCAAAAGTTCTCGTTTTATTGTATCATCTGTAATTATTACTCGCGATAAAATATTGTTCAAGTTATTGACGAACACACTCCGCTCGGATATTTTCTGGTCGAACACCGACTTTAGTCCAATATCAACTCCTGTTGCCATTTTCACTTATTCGGCTTATTATATTCACACCCGAGTTTCGTAATAGATACTTTTTGAAAAATAAATCGTCGCAAGATGAAATATTTCTCAGTGGTGGTAAGAAAAAAACATTTACTTCAGTATAGCAGTTATATTACTGAAAGTAGATATCGTAGAACTGTGTTATTTTTTTCATTCTATCCTTATCAGCAAACTTGAGATTTATGGAATAAGAGGTACAGCCTTGAACTTATTTGAATCATGCTTAACCAGAAGGAAACGAGCTGTCTGCTAACTGAGTTGAACTTCGCCTTTTGTTATATCAGCAACTAGCTCTGTAATTTATTTAAATATTGGTATGTAACTACAGCTGGGAAACAATATCATTATCTGAGGAGGAAGTAGTTTTCCATGGCATAGCTCAGGAGTCATTCCTTAGACCTATCCTTTTTGTAATATATATGATATATTACAATGCCTACTACCTAACACAGTCATCTGTTTTACAGATGGTACAACAATGATTCACTCTATCTCGGACATGAGAAAACTTCTCAACAAGACCAATGAAATTGAAGAGAAGGCTGTAAACTGGTTTACTTTCAAGAAATTGAAATCAAATAGGAACAAAACAAATAATTATCTCTTCAAATAACAGGTTAACCATATAGAAGCACATAAAATTATTAGGTATAATTATTGATGATTCACTTAGATGGAAAAATCATATTAACTTTCTGTGCAAAAATTTTCAACTCAGCTCTACCTTCTTCGCCAGCTGAAAAGATTTCTGAGTACCAATACATTACTATCATTCAACATAGACAAAACAAATGTGGTCACGTTTAGAGTGACATAGGGGAAGTACACTTGGAAAATGTAACAATTAAAAATTTGGAGAAAAGCTAATTTTTAGGACTCTACATTGATGAAAATACAAAATTTGATTCCCATGTCGACTACTTATGTAAAAGACTAGCAGCAAGATGCCATGCAGTGAGAGTTGTTGCAAGAGAGTTAAATACTACTATTACAAGATCACTGTATTTTGCACAAATTAAGTTCTTCTATTTACGTTATGGAATTTTTTTATGGGGACATTGTGCACAATTTCGTTTCAATATGGTATTCTCTCTACAAAAAAGATCCACCAGATATTTATGCAAAGTTAGCTACAGGAATTCATGCCGTCCTTTATTTGTGAAGCAACAAATTCTTCTTTTTTAGGAAATGGTGTGTTTTATCGACAAAAAATCAATACCACCTCAAATTATAGTACACGTCAGTTCATACTTCATATTATCGAATATGTATTTCATATTCGATACCTTAACGGGGAGATGTAGTCAACTAAGAAGAAGAAGAACACAGGTAAAACTCAACAAAATTTAAATAGTAGGTAGTAGAGGGTTTATGGACTACTCTATCTCTGAACACGTAACGAATACCATTTTACCATCATAGTAAGAAGTGAGTTGAGCAAGGTCCATAAACTTCTGAACACGTAACAGCACACCTTGATAATGACAAATGAGATTTTGTCGAAACGTCGGTGAAATTAGAGATAATATCACATACACGGATTCCCTCCTAGTCCCTCTAAAAATTAGAAAAATTCAAATTTGAAGAAATAGAAAAAAATTGAAAAATGAACAACTTTTATTTTGTTATTTTTCCAAGAAGTGTCAAATTTGACAGATTCAAGATAGCACATGACAAAAGGAAAATGGCTGTTTTTTACTCATGTCTCAAGAAATTTAATGCGTAATCAAATTTTCAATAAATCTATTGAAGAAAAAACTTCCATATGTTGCGGACTTTTTGTGATAATAGTTGTTGCAGAGACTTCGAGATATAACTTTCGCCCCCGCAGTTAACGCATATGCAACATAAAACAACAGTCTACAAGTGCATCGAAAATTTCACAAATGAATTTTATTCAAGAATATTAACAATTTTATACCTATGACATATGAAAACAAAATAAAAATTAAAGAAATAATTTACACTAACTTTGTTCTTGGTGAAGCTACAATCTATGATTCCCCAGGAGCTCCACTGCTAGCGACTCCTGGTTGTACAAAACAAGTTGCATGATGTAACATCCAATAACATTGATTAGACAACACTGCTTAGACGTAATATGGAGTTGAAGGGGAAAAGTCACACTAACTAAAAATATTCTTATTAATGGAACATCCACTCTACTACAACCCCTAAATCAAAGTCGCAGCATCTCGGAATTCAGAATCATAACAGATGAAATAGCTCATAAGCACATCTGGGAAAAAATCCCAGACTCAGGGGCAGTGATCAGTATCCCATTCATAAACCTAAGACCTTTAATATGTCTAAAATACTTTTAGGAAATTCCCTGGCAGGACATCTACCAAAAACTACAACCTCTAAATCAATGAATATTACTGGAGTTTTTTCCCAACACCAAATCGTTATTTTTAACACCTCGACATGTGTTTCGATCACTAAGTGATCATCTTCAAAGAGGAAGATTCAGTGTATCTAAATCAAAGTCCCAGCATCTTGGAATTCAGAATCATGACAGATGAAATAGCTCATATCTGGTAAAAAATCTCAGACTCAGGAAACAGTGATCAGAATCCCCCTCACGAACACGAAACCTTTATATATCTAAAACACTGTTAGGAAATTCTCTGGCAGGACATCTTCCAAAAACAGTATTCCCCCAATGGAACAGGCCAATGACATAATGAATAACATAACTTCATGTAAAATGCCCTCAGAATTCAACCTAGAAGTCAATGATGAAAACTTTGATACATTTTACACGAAAGAACTACTAGTTCCCTTTATAGAAGAAGGGCTTAGACACCTGTTAAGACATTTCATACTGAATGATATACGCTCTGTTTGAAAAATAAGGTGGATTTTCATTTTTCTCAAAAAAAAAATTATTTATTCATCAATTTCTATTTTGTTTCTTTCAAAGTCCCACTCAGACATAATAAACTTGTACCAGCGTTTTTTTCCAATCCTCGAAACAGTCCTGATATGCACTTTTTGGTATGTCCTTGAGCTCTCTCAGCGATTCGTCCTTAACCGTCGCAAATCGCCGTCCTTTCATGGGACTCTTCAATCTTGGGAACTGGAAAAAGTCGCCAGGGGCCAAATCGTGATGGGAAAGCCATGAATTGTTTCTCTACAATTTCGGACTCCTTTTTTGCATTGCTTCTCGCAGGCGGCGCACAACTTCAAGTGTATGTAATAAGATACAGCTTTTTGACTTTACACCACGTCTGTATATTTTGTAACCGTCTTAAAAAATTACAATCTTCGATATTTTCGGCTGGTAAATATATTTTTAAATCATCAGCAAAAAATTACTTATTACAATCGACATAATGACTGACGTCATTATTAAATAACAAGAATAGAAGTAATCCAAGATTCGATTCCTGAGGTAATCCAGATGGGATTATAATAAAAATAATCATACAGTTATATTTATGATACAAATTGTTCGAATTGAAATAAGTAAGATCAAATGAAAAGTACTGCCGAATTATGGAAACCAAATTGTTGGAGTTTTTGTGGAAGAATTATGTGATCGAGTCAATCGAATGCTTTTACAAAATCCATGTATATTACATCAACTTGACCACGATTATCTAAGACATTACTAACCTTTCGAGTCAATACAAATAAATTTAACATGATGGATCTGTTAGACATAAACCCATGTTGATAGATGACAATTTTGAGAAGTTCAGCAAAATTCAATAAAATTGAAATAGGACAAAACATCCGAATATCAGATGGATCTCAAAATACATTTTAAACCATCAAAAACCGCATAGAAGCTA